ATCCCTCCCCCACCCAAGTCTGCAGCCTTCACTCTGGACTTCTGTAATGACAAGAATACCCATCCATACGTCCCTTTTAAATAGTTCTCTCCCTTATCTGTTTCAATGCAATATACACCATTCTTCCCCTCCTTTTCTGTCTTCCCTCAAGCCTGATGCCAGTCCAGTTTTAAAACAGTGGCCCTATGCAATATTTGTCCTTGTGACTGGGATAGATATTTCACTCAGCATAATGTCCTCCAGGGTCATCCATTTTGCATAATATTTCACGAGTTCCTTTTCAATGCTGCATAGTATTCCATTGTGTAAATATACCAGAGTTTCTCTATCCGTTCCTTTATTGATGGGCACTTGGGTTGTTTCCAGCTCTTTGGTATTGTGAACAAAGCCCACAATAAACATGGGTGTGCGATAGTGCTGTTTTAACAGAAAGGTCACAAGTGAATCAACAGAAATGTATTCTCTAAAAATTTATGAGCCTTAAGTCCAAATCAAAGTTGTCTAGAAGGTTCTGTTAGCTCTTGGGGAATATCCGTTTTCTTCAGCATTTGTGTATTCAGGATCCCTTAGTGAGTTTCTCGTGTCTTGGTATTGTTGTATACCAGAGTCAAAATCAACCCATAGCTGACCCACCAGTAGGTTAATCACATGGGAAAAGACTGTTCTTCCTTCTCCCACGTGTCTTGGTATGTTATGTGCTGTCAAGTGGCCTGTGACTCACAGCGACCCTATGTACAATAGCTCTGAAGCCTGCGCTGTCCTGAGCCAGTCTCACTGACTCTGACACACCTACCCCCAGTGCCCTAGTTACTGAATCAATCCATCTCACCCAGGATCTTCTTCTCCTGTGCTTCTTCAGCCCTCCAAGCATGTTTGTCCTTTTTCAAGTATTGGTCCCTCCTGACCACATGCCCAAAATATGTAAGATGGAGCGTCAAAATCCTAGCCTAGAGAAACTTGGTTTCACTCTCTTGAAGACAGACCTATTTGTTTTCTTGGTGGTCCAAGGTATGTTCAAGACTCTTCTCCAGCACCACACTGAAAAGCATCTATTCTTCTTTTATCATGTGTCTTGGTATAACAGTTTACAATTCAAGATCAGAAATGACTCATCAAGACATAGTTCTTCAATGTGGACAAGTTCTCAGGCATGTTCACAAGCAGGTCTTTCTGATTCTTAGCCTTCACGGCCTCCAATGGCCTGCCCCTGCTTCTGCTCTGTGTGAGCAAGTTGCTCAGAAGCACCCGTCAGCAATGCTCCCTCCCTAAGGTGCTCAGCTCCCTTGCACCACATGTCAGAACACCACTGTGTTATCTCCTGATTGTGTTGCTGTCTGTTCTCTGGTACCATTCATGGTGTCTTTGTACGATTTCAGATATGATAGCTTTGTTTCCATGGTCTAGGGCATTATCAGGACAGTAACTCTGATCTAAAGATGTTCTCCATTCACAGACCTTTCCAGATGGTAGTGAGGTCTCCAAATCAGTTCACAAGTTTAATGCTCTCTGTATCTCAAAAGAGACTGAATCAAAATACAAATCAATTCTGTAACTGTGTTCTACCTCATCAATGTCACAGAAATTAGGATTAGAACACATAGGATAATTACATGAGGCTATAATATGGAGAAAATTAGATAATACAGAGAATCACAGCCTAGTCAAGTTGGTACATGTTTTAGAGAGATAAATTCAATCCACAAGACCCACAAAGATTCTTCATTGCAGGATATGATCCTTATATAGTGGAAGACAACTTTCTAAAACTGAATGAGGTGAAGTCTGAAATTGAAACTAGTTCTGCAATTTAATATTTATCTAAAACAGTATGTGTTTATTAGACTTCCTGGCAGAATTTAAGCTTATTCTACCTCTGACATCCTTGTCTCCACCATCATTCTTCATCCAACCATAAATTTGCTATGGTCAAACTTAAAAAATATCTCTATCCACAAATAATTTAAAATGTACTTTCTGGAATTTCTACTAGGTATTTCTTAATATTCTGACATTAGAGGAAAATGAATTATTAAAGACAAAATAGTATTATTGTTAGAAGAAAAAAAATTGGGGGGATTTTATGGGCAATCAATTAGGTTTCTATTTTCATGGAATAATTTATAAAGAATTATAACTTACAGTAATAGTTTTCTTTCATTACCAAAAGAATCCCTTTATTCCAAATAAAATATATAAAGTCAATCATAAAATGCATTGGTTACAGCTTATAAAGGCCTAAAGCCCCACAAATTCCGCCAGTGCTTGTTCCTTTCTCACCTTTCACTCTATACAGGTCCCTGAACACACATCCCAGAAATATGAAAATCAACACTTTCCACTATCTTCAGTATTACAGAATAATGGAAGAACAGAAGCACTAATTAGATAAAACCCCCAAACTCATTTGCTGCTGAGTTGGAACCAACTCATACCTGAACCTCCAGAGAGCTTTCAGAAGACCATAAATCACACAGGAGGAGATTGCTCATCTTTCTCCTGTGAAGTCAATGGTGGCTTTGAGAGGCCAAAGAGGCACCACCTTTGGACTATGCCACCTGATCTCCGTTTTATTAGAATATCCCTAAAAACACATATATACACCTATATTCTTAATTTACCCAAATAAATATCTAATGTAAAACTCTTTACTTGTGCATATTTGAAAAACTGCCTTTCTCAGAAGTAGTCTAAGTGGAAAGAACATCAATTCAAACATACTCCAAAAAGTACAGTCTATCCTAAGGCACTGCTGTCAAGTTGGTTACAAATACTAGTGATCCACATTTTTTCTCTCACGGATTTGCTAGTGGATTCCAACTGCTAAGTTTTCTGCTAGTAGCCCAACACAACAGGTGGCCATGAGGGTTTTCTAAAGTATAGTATCAGGAGGATTAATTAGGAATTCTGTCTAAGAAAGATGTTACTTCACCAAAGAAGACATTCAGATGGCCAACAAGCACATTAAGAAATCATCAAAATCCCTAGGTCTAAGAGAGATGCAAATCAAAACTATGAGATATCATCTCACCCCAGTCAGAATAGCAAAATTTAACAGAACAGCAAGCAACAAATGCTGGCGAGGTTGTGGAGAAACTGGAACCCTTATTCACTGTTGGTGGGAGTGTAAAATGGTACAACCACTGTGGAAGGCAGTGTGGTGCATTCTCAAAAAGTTGCAAACAGAGATAACATTTGACCCAGCCATTCCACTACTGGGAATATACACCAAAGAGACCATAACTGACATCCAAGCAAATATATGCACACCCATGTTTATCGCAGCTTTGTTCACAATAGCAAAGAGTTGGAAACAACCTAAGTGCCCATCAACAAACGAATGGATAGAGAAGCTGTGGTATATTCACACACTGGAATACTATGCTTCATTGAAAAACAAGGAACTCATGCAATATTATTCAAAATGGGTGACCCTGGAGGACATTATGCTGAGTGAAGTATTTCAGTCACAAAAAGACAAATACGGCATGGTGCCACTGTTGTAAAATAGGACTGACATCGGGGTTGGGGGGAAGACTGAGAAAGATGGGTTCAATAAAGTATACTGCATTGAAACACATGAGGGAGAAAACTGTTTAAGAGGGATATTATTATTAGGTATTTTTGTCAGGACAGGAGTCCAGAGTGGAGTAGACCTGGGGGAGGGATTGTAAAACAATGAAACAATTGTTCTTTTACTTTTCCAAGAGGGTAGTGTACTGGGGGGGTGGGGGGTGGGGGGGTGTTGGTGGGTTGGGAGGGAAGAAAAGTGCAACAATGAATGAATGGAAATCCAAAGTCTCTGTAACTTTTCATTGAAATGAATAATAATTTTTTTTAAAAAACCCACAAAAAAGATGTCAATACAAGAAATCAAACACATCTGTAGAGAAATGAATTAAAATAACATTTTATTGCACATTTACTTACATATTTTCTGCTTCTGAGTAGAGCTAAACCAGAAGTATTACATTACCTTCAGCCATATTTCCATCAATTGAATTGTAGCAGTGAAATGCAGGTCAATCACCCTAGACTTGCTTTCCAAAAACCTAAAACATTAACCTTTTCAATATGCCTAAATGGTGAAGCACAGACTTATCATTGGTTTTTAAAAAGTTAGCAATCAAAAACCAAACAAAACAATATAAGGGAAATAAGCAATTTTTTCCATTTGTATAACCCAGAATCACAGACTTCTGATTAAGTAACACTATATAGCTAAGTATAAACCAATCTTCATCCACACTATTCATGTATATATATAAATATTTATTATTCAAAATTTTAACACTGAGAAACTGGTTCTCTCACAATTAGGCTTTTAAAAACTTTTCTCACATCAAGAAAACAAAACATAGAAGCCACAATGTCTCGTAATCTTAAGATAACTACCGACTTCATCTACATTGTCTTGCCTGGCATTCATGTTGACTTTCCACTCTCCTCCACATCTTAATGTACAATGTACAAAGTTTAAAGTCCAAACTGCAATCATATAGCGTTTCATCAGTTGCTGTTGCAGCAAATGGCTCTGGCCTTTCAGAGATTAAAAGTAATGACCGAGTTCCCTACTTTTAGCTCATAAATGTCATAAAAATAGAAAAAAAGAAATGCTAACAAGTATTTGGCAAACATCTTCTAAATTACTTTTACTAAATAAACAAATGAAAAGGTTAATGCATCATTCAAAATTTAGAATTCAATAATTCACGTTTTTCTTTAAAGATTTTATCAGAAGAAACAATTCTATTAAAAACAAGTTTAATATGTTTTCCCTTCCACACATTTTTACATTAAAAGTTACTGGAATCACAATTCTCTAGAAATTTTTTTATCGTATAAACATTTTATTCTTAAACTACAGTGAGAAAATTAGAGATTTTCTTATTCTATCTATCATGACCCATTACCAAATGTGCAAGACTTCTTTTCCATAGCATTGTCACCCTAATATTTTGACAATCACAACTATGCAAAACGTATCTCAACTCCACAGTGGATTAGGATCCATGTTTATTCCACATAGGAACTGCCAGAGGTCCCTGTGGTGCCCTTTCAACAACGACAAACTCATCAGGGTTGCCAACTGCCTCATAGAAGACCAATAAATCTTGTATAGCATGTTCTTCAATCTGAAAAGAAGAGATGGGGAGAAAAAGATGCTTCAATTTCCATAAACTACAGAAGGATTATATTAGCTTTTCAATTCCCTTTTGAGGAATGACACTTTCTGTGACTACAAAACATTTAAATTATTTATACTATTATCCTCTAGTCAAGGACAAGACTTAAAGCTTGAGATAGAACAGACATACATCCATTCTCCCAAGGAATCTTAAACAAGAGCTGAAGGAAAAGGATACTGAAAATGACTGCTGAAAGCCATTTATTCCAACTGCCTCACCTTATCAGGCATTTTCTTGGACTATACAAATTCTTTAACTCTTGCTTGCCAAATCTCCAGCACCTTTGTGTCTAGCACTCTGGTCTTCTAGATCAATCTGAGGAATCTCAATAGCCTCAAATAAATTCTCCTTTCCTTAGCTAGAGTGGGTATATGCTGCTTATAAACTAGTAATTATTAATGGTAGAGAAGCCAAAGGTAGAGCTGGATACTGACAAATTCCCTATGGATCTGTTTAGAAAACATCAATAGCCTAAAGCATCATCAAAGCAGCAAATAATAGCTTGATCACATTTATTATTTTGTAAATAGTTATGCTGAACGTCTTCAAGTAATACTTACTTGCTGGATGCCTCAGTCTAGTTTTAATGACATTTACATTTGAAATTGACAAAACATATGCACCTGGCACATAGGTTATTTACCTGAATCAGAGCCAAGGGCTTTTCTCGACTTCTGATAAGAGCTGCTTCTTGTTGTAGCTCCTCTTCTACAATAGATGCGAAAGTTACTGGGGCTACCGAAGGAGCAGTGGATGAAGACGACAGCCACGGACTGAAAGAAGAATGCATTTCTCTGTCATCTTCACAAATTAAACTTATAAAATCTCTTGAAATATTCTGTTAGCAATGTTGTATCTCTCTCCAGCACTGTGCAATATATAAAGGAACCTGGAAGCTTATGCAATGATAAGGTAAAAGACTGAAAAACAAAAACCTAGTATTTAAATCAGCACTTAGTGAAAAGTTCGGAAGAATGTCAAAATGGGAATGGAGCAGAAATATTAAGATTACCAATAGGTAAGTATGGACAGGTAAGTAATAGTATGAATACTCAACAACTTAAAATTCTCTATCAATGCTAAGAAATGCTTAGTGTTGGCAGGCTCAAAGCTAGTAAATTAACATTACTTAGGACTGTCTAGAAAGTGGTAAATCTGAAATTTGGCTGCCTGCTAGTCCTCGAACCACGATATACCAAAAATGCCAAAACTGAAGATTGAATGCTTCCAATACTATTAGTAGAACCATTTAAGAGATACTGAGAAGGAATAGCATGCAAGACTCATCAGACAAATCAGTTAAATGTGCAGTCAAAGTTAGGTTTAAAATGATATCCTTCATTACCATCAAGACAGAACTGACTCATAGCCGAACCTCCACAGGTTATCAGAGGCTGTAACTTATATGAGAACAGATGGTCTACCGGTTTTCCCCTGTGAAGCTCTAACTTATATAAGAGCAGATGGTCCACTTTTCTCCCGTGGAGCAGGTGGTGTGCTCAAACTGCTTGCTCTGGGTTGGTGGTGCAACTACCTATACACTGTTGTTGTTGTTCTGAGTTGGAATTGACTCATTGCTCACTCTTCCGCAGGGTTTCAGGGGTGGTAAATCGAATAGAAAGAGATTGGCCATTTTTCTCCCACAGAACAGTTGGTAGATTCAAATCACAAACCTTTGGGGTGGCAGCATGAATCCTACCAGTAAGCCACCAAAACTCCTTACCTATCCACTAGGTTAAGGACAGTCTTGTAGCAAATAGTCTTATGTTTTCAATAGCATTCAAATACTCGTTTACAGATTGTTTCACATAAATAATTTTATGACGAAAATGACTAATAATATTATATTTCAAAATATGTAGAACCTAGTTAATAAGCAGCTAGAATTGGAAACAGTGAGGGAGAGTTGCCATGAATGGGGCTCTACAGCAGTGATTTTAGCTTACAGTGTTTACAGAGCACTTTGGGTTCATAGAAGAAATGAACATAATCCAGAGGAAAGTATGTACTTACAGCTTCACTGAAGAAATATTTTAGAGCTGAGAACAGCACTAAACTGAGGATGTGGACAGATATACATACTGGTCTAGAAAGATTTTCGTAACTTCAATAGGATCAGGTTATTAATTCTTCTTCCTCTTTTTTTTTTTTTTTGGTAGTTAAATGAACATAACAGATTAAAAGGTAGACCTGTTCTCATCAATAAACACACAATGACTAGATTGAGAATAGGAATGGAATTACAAGAGAAATCTGGAATAAAAAAGAAGGGCACTGAAAGCTAAAATATTTAGACAGGACGCATGGGCAAACCAATTTACTAAAAGTTTAAGAACTTTCATATACATTACCTCATTTAATTTCTGCAATATTCTGTGAAGAATACATGCAATTTTCTCTCCAATGTGCTTAATTAAAAAGTCAGGACTTATACAAGGGATCAAAATAGCCAGTTCTAATCAGGAAGCATTGGTGGCCCAGTGGCAAGAAGCTGAACTACAATCCTAAAGGCATGTGATTAGAATACACCAGATGTTCCACTGGAGAAGGATAGGCAATTGCCTCGTAGGCCTCTGAAAACCTGCTCAAGGGTCTGCTGTGGGTTCCATCTTGATGATGATGATTACGATGACAACAAGAAGAAGAAACAGTGGCAAAAAATGTGGGACAAAGCTCAAAAACAAACAGCCAGGCTTACCTAGTTCAATAGAGACTAATGGGACACTCACAACTATAGCCCTTAGTCATCTTTTGAACCCAGCACAAATCCTCTCTTATGGCTTAACATAGGTCTCTAAGGTAAACAGTAACACCAGAAAAATAACAGATCTCTAAGGTACACACAAAATACATAGAGAAACCAACCTGGCATTATCAAAAGGGTAGCATGCCTACCGATAAAGGTAGCAAGTAAGGAGTAGGATGGAAGATTAATAGAAACAACAATCACAGGGAAGAAGTCAGAAGAGTACAATTAAGGTTAAACTGTGTATGTTATAAGGGGTCGTGGTACAAGGGATATTGTAGCTGATGTTAGATGGATCTTAGCTGAAAGCAGGGAATACCAGAGGAATTCGTATCTGTGTTTCATTGATTATGCAAAGGCATTTGACTGCGTGGATCATAACAAACTGTGGCTGACTCTGAGAAGAATGGGAATCCCAGAACATTTAATTGTGCTAATGTGAAACCTATACTTGGACCAAGAGGAAGCCGTCAGAACAGAGCAGGGCAACACTGCATGGTTCAAAATTGGGAAGGGTGTACGCCAGGGATGTGTCCTATCTCCATACCTTTTCAACCTGTATGCAGAGCAGATTATTCGAGAGGCTGGGCTCTATGAGGAGAAGCGTGGCGTTAGGATTGGTGGACAATCTACCAACAATCTGCATTATGCAGATGACACAACCTTGCTCGCTGAAACTGAGGAGGACCTCATGCACTTGCTGCAGAGGTTCAAGGACTGGAGCCTTCAGTATGGACTGAGGCTCAATGTCAAGAAGACAAAGATTCTCACTACTGGAACAATTGGTAGCATTAGGATGGATGGCGAAGCGATTGAGATTATTCACAGCTTCAGTTTGCTCGGCTCCATGGTCAACACTCTTGGCACCAGCAGCCAGGGAATAAAAAAAGTATTGCGATGGGAAAGTCTGCAGTTAGGGACCTCTCTAAAGTACTCAAGAGCAACGGTGTCTCTCTGGAGACTAAGGTCGCCTTATGCAGGCCATGGTCTTTGCAATCACTTGTTATGCATCAGAGAGTTGGACAATGACCAGGGAGGATCGAAGGAGAATTGACGCCTTTGAGCTGTGGTGCTGGAGAAGAGTATTGAATGTACCATGGACTGCCAAGAAAGCAAACAGATTCATCCTAGAGAGGATTAAACCAGGTTGCTCCTTGGAGGCAAGGATTCTGGGGCTTCGTCTGACATACTTTGGACATGTTGTAAGGAGAGACAGGTCTTTAGAGAGGGACATCATGATGGGTAGAGTAGAGGGACAGCGCAGGAGGGGAAGACCCTCTATGAGGTGGATTGATTCAGTGACTGGGGTAATCGGGATGGGTGTGTCAGAGGCAATGAGATTGGCACAGGATAGAGCATGGTTTAGGGCTATTGTACACAGGGTCGCTATGAGTCGTAAAAGACTCGACGGCACATAACAACAACAACAACAAATTAAAATGTGCAAGAGTGGTTTAAATTGAAAACCAATAGTTTCTAAACTTTCACTTAAATCGTAATAAATACATTAAAATTTAAAATAACCCAAATGCTAAGATTCAGTTAATTTTATTAACTTGTCTTATGAACAAATTAATTATGGCCTAGTAGTAAGATACTGTACATGATTCAAACCACCAGTTGCTCCATGGAAAAAGGATGGGAAGTCTCCTATGCCATTTACTGCCTCTGAAAGCCCAATAGAGAGAGGGTCAGCCATTAGTTGCTACTGCCTTGATGGCACACAAAAACATGTACAAATAGGGGGCTTTGGTGCCTTAGTGGTAAGGAAGCATGCTACCAATTCAAAGGTATTCAGCTGTAACCTATTAGCTTCTCCACAGAAGAAAGACAAGCCATCAATTTCCACGTGATTTTACTGCTTAAGAACACTTGCTGGGGGGGGGGGTCAGCTATGAGTTGGCTCTGACACGATGGTAGCTAACAACAACACACAAATAGAACAACAGAGGCTATTTTCACTCAGTGTTTTCTATTATTATACAGCTGCTTTTATTTCTAATATTGCTTTATGTCTAGAATATATTTCACTTAACATGTCTTCCCATTCTTTAAGAACTGGCTCAAATATCACCTTTTTCACTCTTTCTAAACACTTCAATCATTGTCCTTTTTATAAAGTTTTCCAGGCTATCCTGTCATTGTTGACATATCTGTCTCTCTCATCTAACAAAAAAACTTAGAATAGGGTTTTTGGGGTGTTTTTACAATTTCCTATTTTTTTAAAGTACTAGCAATGTTTTCTTCCAGGGGTAGGTACTGACATTCAAAATGAAGTGGAAAATAGCTCTAGTCAGACGGATCTTCATTTCAGTAAAAGTATATGGCTTGAAATCTGCTGGACCTTTGCCTGACCTCTAACATCCAAAATAAGACAAGTTCCCAGGAAGAAGTAGAAGACGTCGGACCAGAAGTAAAACGAAGTCTGGAAGGCGAACTATAAAGCTGCTTAGAAAGACTTGTATGATTATGAAATAAAACTCATTGTATACTCTAAAGGAACAAGATAAAGTACCTTAGACATAAACTAAATGCAAATCCCCTAGGTTAAATTCTTTAGGAGTGTAAAACTAAAAGACATCTACGTCATTAAATAGAGCATAAAACAAACATATATAATAACTTAAGTGATGGTGAGAATCACTTAGATGTTCTGGGTGCCAGCGAATGTCTTCACACTTGCAAGGTAATGCAAAAATATATAAATCAATCATATCTAATTACTAATAAATAAAGAGCAGTTAGAAGCTCCATGTCTTTGAAAATAATGTCATTGGCTAACAGTGAATATTAGCACTAATATGCCATAAACTTTACAAAAGTTAATGTTTCATAATAAACCTATGTGAAATGTTCTTCACATTTCATATTAAACAAAACTGATGTACTGATCAATTAGTTAAACCTTTTTTCTGAACATTATAAACACTGGACTTATCAGTGATTTTTCAAATAGTTGCAAGGAGGGAACAGCCCATAGAGAGGGACATCATGTTTGGGAGGGTAGAGGCACAGCGCAAGAGAAGACCCTCAATGAGATGGATCGATTCAGTGACTAGGGTAGTTGGAATAAGTGTGTTGGAGACATTAAGATTGGGACAGGTTGTGGTGCTAGAGAAGAGTACTGAATATCCCATTCAATACTAAGAACTGCTAAGAGAACAAACAGGTTTATCTAAGAGAGGGTGAAACCAGGCTGCTCCTTGGAAGCAAGGATTTTGAAGCTCCATCTTACATACTCTGGGCATGATGCCAGGAGGGACTAGTCCTTGGACAGGAACATTACGCTTGGAAGGGTGGAGGGACGGCATTGAGAAAGAAAGACCCTGAATGAGGTAGATTGACTCAGGGACTGGGGTACTGGGGGTAGGTGTGCCAGAGACAATGAAGATAACGCAGGATAGAGCAGGATTCAGAGCTGTTTTACATAGGGCTGCTATGAGTCACAGGCAACTCAGCAGCACATAACAATAAACTACAGATATGAGTACAAAAGAAAGACATTTCCAGTAGAAAATTCTTATAAAATTGAGACTTTTGAAAATAAAACATAAGTTAGCTAAGATGTTCTTCTAGAATTTTTATGTAGACTGAAGAACATAAACATTGTTAAATTCTGACTTAAAGAGAACACTAAATTACCTTTACTCACAGATGGCTATTTTTAGTTTTTTAAGATTTTTACACTAACTTAATTACAAAGATTTTTATATAAGATTGTTGTTGTGGTGTACCATCAAGTTGGAACTGATGCATAGCTGGCCCTCCAGTGGGTTTTCAGAAGCAGTAATCATATAGGAGGAGAATTTGGTAGATTCAAACTGTATGACTTTGGGTTGACAGTACAACTCCTTATCACTAAGCCACTAGGGGTCCCTATGTACTTTCATATTCATATAAGATTAAAGGTGAAATAATCATATAATGACTTTTTTCTCACAAATAACTTTCCCACTGATTAGAAACACAAGATCAGAGAAGTGAAAAGAGAAAATATAATTATTACTAAAAAATGAAAACTGCACAAATCTCTAAGATTTTAGCATCCACAAAGGACACTACCATTCCCTAGCCTCAGAAAAAGGAAACAAAGTCACATTTTCTAAAATTAAAATAAGAATCTAGGACTTCTAGAATTTCCTGAGAAGACCACCTCCACCGCTGTGGACCCGGCTCTGAAGGACCACAACGCTCTCTGCCTTCTTGCTTTCCCCGCCTCTGCTGGCACTTTCCCCCATTCCTCTCTTTTTAGTTCTAGGTTCAAAAGTATGTGACAATGAAATGGACCAATATTTAAGTAATATCTTTTCTAACACTATTCATATAGTCACAAATTAAAAATTGGTTAAGAATTGACAAGCCCAAGCCCTTTTTTCTCAGTGCAGGCTTTCCTGGTAGCTCCTGCTCCTTGTTGTTTTCCCTCTGAACAAGTCACCAGGCACTGCATCATATATAATGTATGAATTTTTTTTAATACTGTTAACATTGTCATTTCATTTCCATGTGTGTGTATATAGAGATCAAATCTACTTGAGGTTGAAGTTGTTTATTACAATGTCATAAAGTTGTACATGTATGACATGCTTCATAATTTGGTTAATTAATTTTTAACTATCTGTTGTATTTTATTATTTTTTTAAATGGCTCACTTATGATTATGCATTTTTAAACTGGTTCTTTCTCTTACAATCACTACTCATGGTAGCACATAGCTATTTAAGATATTAACTGCCACTCCTGGACTACATTTACTATCATATACTCTTTTCAATTTTCCAAAAGCAGTGTAACAGCACTGACAACTAACTGTATCATTTAAGATCCCTGATACTATAGCACACTCTAGTGAACAACTAAGAAACCACACTTAATGTGAGTTAATGTGACAAAGATACCAATTCAAAGAGAACATTTCTATGTGAATGTTAATATCAGAAAGTTAAAATACTTCAAAAGTAAACTTAATTTCATAACTTAATATAACAATATTGAAGACAACTCAAAGTATGCATGATTTAACTCATTACATGTGAAATAAATGTTATAGCACATTTGGGCTATAATTTTAACTCATTTATTAATTCAGGCATTCACCAACTACTCATTTTACACATATTTGTGGTAGGAACCATTTGAAATTAATGATACAATGATTTTACCACAAAAAGTGTAATAATACATGAGAAATTAAAAAATTCTCAAACTCATTGTCATTCAGTTGTGACTGATTCATAGCTGACCCTCCAAATGGTTTCTGAATCTACATTTTACAAGAGAGGAAACTGTTCATCTTTCTGTAAATTGCAAGGAAGGAAACTGCCCATCTTTCTACCTTGGAGTAGCTAATGGATTCAAACCAGCAGACAAGCACACCCTTTGGGTTAGCAGCAAAACTTGCTACAGACTACGCCCTAAGTGCACCCTAATTAAGGAGAAGACATGAGAGGAAAAAAAAATCTGCGTTCTCCAAAGAATTAGAATGAACAGAGACTGAAAGACAAGTTCTAGTCAACTAGCCAATGAGTAAATAGGCAGAAAGAAGTAATTGAAGAAAATAAAAGATGAAGATAGCTAGAATATGGAGACTAAGTAGCAAAACACAACTGAAGAGGTTAGCAAGTTTGGATGGTCAAACTAAAAACCCTAACTTAATCTTAAATCGCAAGAGCTACTTTATATAAAGAATATACAGACCAAACAGAATGAAGGTAAAGATGGAAGTCTGTAGCAGCATCAATTAGGTGGCTAGCCAGCTGGGTTAGGTGAAGGATCATGAAAACCATGAACCTTAAATGCAATAATTCTGGGGGCTTAGTAGTAAGAGACAGCACTGCCAAAACAAAGGCAGTTCAAATCCACCAGCTGCCCAATGGGGAGAAAGATAGGCAGTCTTCTCCTGTGCAATCTTCAAACTCTGAAAACCTTCTGGAGGGTCAGCTATTAATTGGTTCTGACAGTAAACAACAATACAAATCAATTTGGGAAAAAAGCTACATACTGTATGATTTCAGCTACATGAAATTATGGAAAAAGAAAAAATATACAGTAAAAAGACAATTGGTTGCAATGGTATAAGAGGAAAGGAGTGATTAACACATGAAGCAGAGGGCATTTTAACAGAAGTGTTCACAAACTCATTCTGTTATAAATTAAGAAACTACACTCATAGTTGATTCCTCAGTGTATTTTCGAGGCTAGAAATCATATAAAAGGAAAATGTCTATTTTTATCTTCTGACTTGCTGGTAGATTTGAAACATAGTGGATATAGGGCATTACACTTTTGTAAAAAATGTCAGAATTGTACATAATATTAGCACTAATATAAAAACTGTGGATTTTATTTTGTAATATTTTATCAGTATTTGTTCCTATATTATAACAGATATAAAATGTCTATAGAGGGAACAAGAGGAACATGGGCCTCTACTTTTTCTATGCAATTTCTCTATTAATATAAATTTTTCTATAAAACTAGTCTAAAAAATGTGTATGAATGAGCAGATGAAATTGTATTTACAATGCTAGAAAACAATAAGAGTATGAAAGATGGAAAGAAAAACTATGATTTGTAAACTTCCCTGAATTTGAAAACAAAACAAAAAACAACCAAACAAAACACAACCAACAACCCACCAAAAAAAAAACCAAACATTTTTTAAAAAAGTAGGAAGACTCAAGTTAAAAGGGAAGGTCAATCAAAAAAACTATGAAATATCATCTCACCCCAGAAGGATAGCAAAATTTAACAGAACAGCAAACATCAAATGCTGGTGAAGTTGTGGAGAAACTGGAAACCTTATTCACTGTTGGCGGGAGTGTAAAATGGTGCAACCACTATCAAAGGCTGTATGCCTTTCTCAAAAAAGTTGCAAACAGAAATACCATTTGACCCAGCAATTAACCATAAGTGCCACCCAAGCAGATATATGCAAACTCATGTTTATTGCGGCTCTGTTCACAATAGCAAAGGGCTGGAAACAACCTAAGTGCCTGGTAAAAAATGAATGGATAGAGAAGCTCTGGTATATTCACACAATGGAATACTATGCAGCATTGAAAAACAAGGAACTCATGAAATATTATGCAAAATGGATGACCCTGGAGGACATTATGCTGAGTGAAATATCTCAGTCACAAAAGGACAAATATTGCATAGGGCCACTGTTGTAAAATGGGACTGACATCAGGCTTGAGGGAAGACAGAAAAGGAGGGGAGAAATGATGTATATCACATTGTAACAGATGAGGGAGACAACTGTTTAAAAGGGACGTATGAATGGGTATTCTTGTCATTGCAACAATTCCAGAGTGAATGCTGCATAGTGGAGTGGACTTGGGGGGAGTGACTGCATACCAATGAAAGAGCTTTTCTTTTTCTTTTCAAGAAGAGTGAAGGGGGGGGGGGCATGCAACAGTGAATGCCTGGAAACCCTAAGCCTCTGTAAACTTTCATTTAAATTAATTTTAATAAAATGTAAAAAAAAAAGAGGTCAAATATATGAGAATGATAAGGCTCTCACAGTGGAAAATAATGTAACATAATCAAGATATTGGCAAATTATGAGAGAGCATTACTCTACTGCAAAACAAAAAAGATACACAGTAAGGATTACAAACATGGATTTGTGTGTCTTTCAGTATGAAAATGAATTATATGCCTTTCAATTTAAAAAGGTGGTCTCCAAGGACACTGTACCACACAATTTATGAAACCAAAGATATTCTTATATCAAAAAGACTACAGTATACTGGATCCATAATCAACACCTATGGAAGCAGAAGTGAAACAATCAAACAATATACTGTATTTGTTAAAAACATTGTCATGGACCCCTTAAAGGTGCTAAAGAGTATGTATGTCAATTTAAGGACTAAAGTGAGTCTGACTCAAGTCAAACAACCTATCTTCAACTGCTTCATAAGCAAGTGCAAACTAGACAATGAATAGAGAAAATGATGGGAAAATTAATATATTTGTACTATGTCGGTATAGAAGACTACTGAATATACAATAGACTGTCAAAAGAAAAATGAATCTATTTAGAAGAAGTGTGGTGTGTAAAGAAGTAAAGACGGTGAAACTCCAGTCCTTGGAGAAGGACATCATGATTAGGCAAACAGTCAGCGAAGAAAGGAAGATTCTCAATGAGATCAACTGACGCAGTGACTCCATGGTTAGGCAGGAGAGAACGTGAGTGAAGACGCATGGAATCAGGCAGAGTTCTGTTCTAGTGGAGACAAGGTTTCAGTCAGCATTGACTCGCCAGCACCACAATAGCTTTAAGAAAACAAATTTCCCACGATACTGAATATTTTTAACTTGTTTAGATTCAGTGGTTTTCAGTATAATAATCGTTCAACAGATATTTGGTATTTTATTTTGTTGTATATGAAATATAAATTTTGAAAAAATATACCTTTAAATGCTTTTAATGCATTGAAGATCACATACATTATGTTGTCTAAACAATTCATTTGTATAGATATTCAAGAATAAAGCTTCTATTTAAAGAAGAGTTCTACTGGCAAATGACAAAAGATGATTTTGCGAATCATTTGTAAATTATTTTAATCATTTTACTATTGTTGTTAGGTGCCACTGAGTTGAGCACAACTCAGAGTGACTCTATGAACAAAAGATCTGAATCCTGCTCTATCCAGCGCCATCCCCGTACTTCCTGACATACAGAGCCCCGATTGCAGCAGTCACCGTATCAATCTACTTGGTTGAGTTCTAATTCTCCTTCACCAGTCCTACACCCTTCCCAGCATCATATCCTTCTCCAAGGAATAGCCCCTCCTAGCAACAAGTCCAAAGTATGAGGCAAAGCCTCATCATTCTTGCCTCCAAACAGTACTCCAGCTGCACTCTCTACCAGACACATCTGGTCATTCTCTTGGCCATCCACGGGATGTTCACTGCTTTTCTCCATTACCACAATTCAAAAGCATTAATTCTTTTTTCTCTCATCCTTATTCATTGTTCAGCTCTCAGAAGCATAGCTACTAATGGAAAAGACTATGGCCTGAATCAGACACATCTTAGTTCTCAAACTGAAATCATTACTCCTCAATAATTTGGAAAGGTCCTAACTATAGATTTTCATAGTGCAATATGTCTCCTTATTTCCTGACTGCTGGTAGCAAGGGTGTTAAGTGTGGATCCAAGCAAGATGAAGTACTGACAGTCTCAATCACCTCTCCATTCATCATGATGCAGCCTATTGGTCCAGTGGTAAGAATCTTTGTTTTCCTGACATGGAGAGGCAATCTATATCAAAGTCTGCATTCCTTGATCTTTTGCAACAAGTGCTTCAGGTCATCCTCACTTTCAGCAAGCAAGGTTGTGTCACCTGCATAACACAAGTTATTGATGAGTCTTCCTCTAATCCTGATGTCACACTCCTTCTCAGAGTCCAGCTTCTGGGATAATTTGCTCAGCATACAGATTGAACAGACAGGTATGAAGAGAGAATACAAACCTGGTGCACTCCCTTCCTAATTCCAAATCATGCAGTGCTCCCTTACTCCGTTCACACAAATAACCTCCTGATCCAGGTACAGGTTCTGTATGAGCACAATAAAGTGCTCTGGGATTCCCATTCTTCTCAATATCAGCCACAACTTGTCATGAACCACAGTCAAATGCCTTTGCATAGTCAATAAAGCATAAATAGGCATTCTTCCGGTACTCTCTACTCTCAGCCAGGATCCATCTGGCATCAGAAACAATACCCCTGGTGCCACGGCCTCTTCTAAGTCCTGCTTAAATTTCTGGCAGTTCCCTATCTATGTAGGGTTCCAGCTGTTTCTGAATAATCTTCATTAGTATTTTGCTTGCATGTCACATCAATGCTATTGTTCGATAATTTCCACATTCAATTGGATCATCTTTCTTGGAAATGGGAACAAATATGGACCTCTTCTAATCTGTTGGCCAGACAGCCATACTCCAAATTTCATGGCATAGACTGGTCAGTGCATCCAAGGCTGCACTTGTTAATTGAAACAAGTCAATTGGTATATCCTATCGATTCCTGAGGCTATATTTTTTGGCAATGCCTTCCATGCAGATTCCACTTTATTCCTTCATTATTACTGCCTCCTGTTCATATGAAACTTCATGAAATTTTTCAGTGTCAATCAATTCTTTCTGGTACAGTGACTCTGTATTTTCCCTCCATCTTCTTTTTATGCTTTTGGTGTCGTTCAATATATTGACCCAAAGCATCTTCTAATATTGCGACACGGAGCTTAAAGTTGTTTTTCAGTTCTTTTTGCTTGAGAAATGCAGAGAAAGTTCTTCCCTTTTTATTTCAATTCCAGATCTATACACATTCCATTATAAAATTTTGCTTTGTCTCAACTCTTCAGTGTAGTCTTTAGAGTGTCTTCTAACATCTATTTAGATTTTTTTCCCTCCTTTTTCTCTGGTTTTGTAAAGACTTTTTGCTTTCTTGATTATCAATACACAATTCATCTGTCTTCTATCACTTCTATGCCTCAAGCCTATTCTTAAGATGATTATGAAATTCAGATGAAATTGATTCAAGATCCTACCTTGGTTACTGCGGACTTAATTTTCTCTGGCCTCAATTTGAACTTGCCTATGAGTAATTGATGATCTGACCCACAATCTGCCCTTGGCCTAGTTTTGATTGCCAATATTGAGCTTCACAAACAATTTATTCCACAAATAAAGGCAATCTGATTCCTATGCAGCCCATCAGGTGAGATCTACATGTAAAGCTGTCTTTTTTTTTGTCTTTTAGAAAAGCTATTTGAAATGAATAAATCATAGTAAATAAAAAAACTCAATCATTCTATTTCCAGCTTCATTTCTATCACCAAGCCCATACTTTCCAGCTACTGTTATGTCGGTATTCATGCGTTCCATTTCTTTTTTAACAATTTCCAGTTTTCTGACATTCAAGCTACATGCATTCTATGTTCCAATTATTAAATGATGTTTGTAATTGATTTTCCTCATTTCAATTGACAGAAATGAAATGTGGTTATGGCTAATATAATTCTTCTTCAAAATATTTTGAGTTAGTTGTTTGTTTGTTTATAAAGTTTTTCTTTTCTGTATGTTCCGTAAGAGCAGAGGCTATGCTAATTCTGTTCATCTAACTCTAGTATCTAGCAAATAAGAAGTCAGTGTTATATTTGAGTCAATTTAAGATTACAAATGTCATCCATTATGTTCAATTTCATACTTAATGAGCCCATCAAACAGCCTTAATATTCTCATTGTAAGTAAACATTAAAAATTTAACTGACAAAAATCTACCTCATATGTACAGATTTACAATTTTCATTTTAAAATAGCATTCCACTGATGAAAGGGTTTACAGGAACAGAGCTGATGATTTCTTTGGGTTCTTTCTGCTCTCTGATTTTCTGTAGTTTAAGGACTTAAAGATGTGAAATATAAAGATCTAAAATAGCAACAACAAAAATAACACTATATTAAAAAAGTATGTCTAAACTCTTAACATTTCCATCGTTGTTGGAAGCTGGTTTTAGGGCAAATTCCACTACTATGTCTCCCATCTCCTCTCTTAAATTCAGTAAGTGAGGTACTTATTGGGACTAAACAAAAGATTTTATTAGAAAAATAGAGGTTGAGAGACAAGGTGTGACAAAAAGAGAAATAAAAGGTCTATTATTTTATAAAGGAACTTGGATAGCATAGTGGTTAAATCTTTTGGCTACTACTGGAAAAGTCAGCCGCTAAAACCTACCTGTCCTCCCATGGAAGAAAAGTGAGAAAGTCTGCTCTAAAACAACTTACAATATAGGAATGGGACATTTCTACTGCCCTCCCAGGTCACTGTGTTGGAACCTACTCAACAGCAATTATCATTATAATATTATTGCTGTTGTACCATCAAATCAGAATCAACCCATAGCTGATCTTGTAGCAAGTTTTCAGAGATAGTAAGTCATACAGGAAGAGACTGCCCATCTTTCTCCCATAGAGCAGTTGGTAGATTTGAACTGTTTACCTCTGCATTGACAGTGCAATTCCTTACCATTAAGCCACCAGAGCTACCTAATATTAGCATATGTTGTGTACTGTAAAGTCAAAACCCATAGCTGAGCCTCTGGAGGGTTTTTCAGAGGCAGATAACTACACAGGAGGAGACTGCTCATCCTTCTGAGGAGCAGCTGGTGCCTTTAACATAGGCCACCACAGCTCCCTCTTATATATCAGATAATATCATATATTAGCATATACAGTATTATATAACAGCAGTATCACAAAATAAAACAATTTTTCATGTAATAATAAAAGCTGATATTTTAAATTATGTTTTTGTTTTGTCCAAATATTTTAGAGATTAATATCTTGAGTGGGATTTTATAAGCATAAATAAGGGGGAAAATTACCACTTAAGTCAACCAACTTGAAACACTTCTTTTCTTCTAATACTGGTAGAAGTAAATGCATTTGCTTAGCCTGGTAGGGATGTTATGATTATTAAAATATTATTTCAAATAAACTATGGTTAGACTTTCATGTATTTTAAACATGAAGCTTCTTTTTTAAAATAAATTAGACTTTAAAGACTTACATAAAAAATAGCCAAAAACAAGACTTCACAAAGGAGGATGTTTGTATACGTATATGAGGAAATGTTTAAAATCACTAGCAATCAGTGATGGAATACCATCTCACTCTAAGTAGCAGTAGCAAAGTTTAACAGGAGAGCAAGCAATAAATGTTGGAAGAGGATGCAGAAAGATCGGAACTCTTATGCACTGCAGGTAAAATGCTAAAACTTCTATGGAAGGAAGTTTGATGTTTCCTCAACAAGCTGAAAACAGAAAGCCCGTATCACCCAGTTATTACACTACTAGGAATATATCCCAAGGAAATCAGAACAAAGACGTGAATGGAGATATGTACACCTATGTTCATAGTAGCATTATTCATAATACCAGAAAAATGGAAACAACCCAAATGCCCATCAACAAACTAATGGGTTGAGAAACTGTGCTATATTCACATAGTGGAATGCTATGAAGCACTAAGAAACACTGACTTAATAAAATACTATGTATCACAGACGAGTCTACAGTGCATCATGCTGAGTGAAATATCTCAGTTGCATAAGGACAAATACTGTTTAAGACCATACTATTTTGAAAACCAGACGATAACTGAGCAAGATGTGTATAAATGCTCAAAAGAGGAAGTGGAAGGGGAGTAGAGAAGAAGAAAAATGGGAAGAGGAAAAAGTCTGGAAAAGCAAAGGCTGGTGGGGAGAGATAGTGAAATGTTTAATGGGAACTTGAAAATATAAGGTGATAATAGGCATAAATCAACGGTAATTACTTACACATAATGTAATCTATATGAATGTACAAAATGCAAGGTACATAAATGAAACACATTTATGAATGATTGTATAATCATGTACAAAACACAATGCATATAATTATATGCAAAACATTAAAAAATTTTAAAAAAAATGGCCAGAGAAAGAGCGGGAAAACAGTGCAAAGGCCTGATGCATGGATAAATATAGACAAATTCTATACAATGCAGTCTGGTCAGCAATAAAAGGGATTAAACTATCACTATACATAATGACATGGATGAAATAATTATGTGGAGTAGAAGAATACAGATCAAAAAAAGTGTACATACTATATGAATCCATTAAAATTTTAAGTCTAAACTATACAAATTAATTTATATTGACAGAAAGCAGACTCGTATAGAGTGAACGAAGAAGAAGAAATAGACTACAAAATAGCAGGAGGAAACTTTTCAGATTATACATGCTCAGGATATTAAATTTCATTATTATATAAATATGCCAGAATATCAAATTAAATACTTTATATATTAGTTTATTATATTTCAGAAATTACTTTAAAAAATTAAATGATGAAAGAAAAGACAGGTTAATTTTGAATGTAAAATACTACATACATATCTGTATCATAAATTTAAAAATATTCCAGAACACAGAAAAATCCATAGAACACAGTAGAAAATTTGTATTACCTTATGACTTTTGGAGGTTGGGAATTTTCAATTCCTTGAAAACAAACTTTTTTGGCATGATCTGAACTAAGGCTAGTAACAGACTTTTTTTCTTCTAATGAAAAATCCCGGAATGACTTGGATAAAACTGAATGTTGAGAAGATGTCCTGCAAAATAAAGCAAAGATAACATTGAATATATTTTTCACTCTCGCCTCAAGGTGACTGGTCAAAGTCTCAAATGGATGTAGAAAATGGAGAGAATGAATACTAAAAATTCTACAATGTTACTTTTGGGAACATGGCTTTCAATATGATCCAGAATTTTCGATGTCAGATATAAACTAATCAAAACCATGTTGTGAAAAACCAGCAACCAAGAGAGGAGACTCACACTGTGGATGCTATGGATGTGGAAATCATCAGGAACTGACACTAGAAAGACAATGTTTGCACCATGCTGTTGTTGTTACCTGCCTAGCGACCCTAATGTACAACAGCCCTAAACTCTGCTCCGTCCTGTGCGAATCACAGTGTCTCTGATATTCCCATCCTGATTACCCCAGTCACTGAATCAATCCATCTCATAGAGGGCCCTCCCTTCCTGCGCTGTTCCTCCACCCTCCCAAGCATGATGTCCCTCTCCAAAGACCGGTCCCTCCTTACAACATGTCCGAAGTATGTTAGAGGGAGCCTCAGAATCCTTGCCTCCAAGGAGCCACCGGTTTAACCCTTTCTAGGACGAATCTGTTTGTTTTCCTAGCAGTCCATGGTACACTCAATACACTTCTCCAGCACCACAGCTCAAAGGCATCATCTCCATCTATCCTCATTAGTCATTGTCCAACTCTCTGATGCATAACACGTGATGTAGTAAAGATAAATATACTCAGAATGAACTAAAGAATAAGGAATTTCAATAGAAGGAAAAAATGTCTTAAAAAGTAAAAAATTTAAGAATTTTCAAAAAAGCAAAATTCACTTGTATGGATTTAAGAAGAGATTACAGTCACTGAACAAAAGCCAGAAAAATATTTTTAAATAATATTAAAAAAAAATCTACCATATGTGTAATGAATATCCAGGGAGGGAGAGAAAGAGGGAGGGAGGAAAAAAAGGAGGGAGGGAGAGAGGGAAGAAGGGAGGAAAAAGCCAAAACAAACAAACTAAAGAAACAATGGCAATTATGTTCCAAATTTGATGACAAAGATAATTTAGAGATATAGCAATTATAGGGAACCCTGAAGAATACAAACACAAAGACAACCACATCTAAGCATAACACATCTAAGGCAAACCATTAAAAGCAAAGATCAGGAGAACTTTGCTGCCGTGGGACCAGAAAGGAAGGGAAAGACGCAGAGGAGCTCCCCTCCAGGTGAGCTCCACCAGGTGAAACCCCCAGCAGCACTAGGACTGGGGCACAGAGCAAGTTCTCATCCCTTACTGCTGTATTATTCACAATGGCTGGAAAAGAGGTGAAAGCAGTCCAATTGCCCATCAATAAATGAATGGATAGAAAAACTGTGATACACAATATAATATTAACAGCAGTGAAAACAAGTAACTTGTAAAACACTACACAAGATGGGTGAGCCTGGAGGACATGTTGCTTAGTTAAGTTGTCTCAGTCACAAAGTTTAAAACAGCTGTTACAAAATAGGACTGACATGGGGAGCTTTAGGGGAAAATGGGAAGAGAGTGGATAGCTGGTAAACACAGCATTGGAGCAGATAAGGGGAAGGACTATCTAAAAGGAACAAAAGAGATACATTGCAAAGTGGACTGAGAGAGGGAGCGGAGGAGGAAGGAAAATGTGCAATAACGAGTGAATGAAAACCCAAACTTGCGTTAAAATCACAATTTGAAAAAAAGGTAAATTCTACATTCAACAAAAATATCTTTGCAAAACAAATGTTAAATAGACATTCTCATACAACCTCAAATTAAGAGCAATCCTGTACTAGAAAAATGCTAAAGGAAGTTCTCCAGTTAAAAGAATAAAAGATTAAAATGAAAACACAAATTTTCAGAAAGAAATGAACAAACAATAGAATAACAAATAAAAATTTTTTTAAAAAATCTGATTTTAGGTTCTATGAACATCCCTATTCTTTGTTTATTCCAGGTGTATTTATCTTTACCATGTGGAACAAACATAATTATTCTGATATCTCATGCACTGTCAGAGTAAATGCTAGTTAACATGGGAGGAGACCAGCTTCTCTGAACCATCAGACAGACTAGGTCTTTGAGTCAGCAGTGCAACGTGCCTTACAAGCTACTCTACGAGGGCTCCCTTATCCTAGGATCAGTGCCTGATGATTTCAACATCTGTATCACCTATGGTGTCAGTCTACTGCTTGCCTTTTTTTCCCCCCAATATAATTTTGATTCTTTCACATCTGATAAAAAAAAATCCAGTATTACATTAAAAACCTTAATCACAAGACTATCGTCATAGAATATTTTAGTATTAAAAACTCTTAAATACTGAACTATATTGAATATAAAAATATTCCAAAAAAATCTCTTCCCCTAAAGAAAGATGAAATAGTAGAACAAAAGACAGATGGGAAACACAATTAGTAAAACGAGAGAATTAAACTAAACCATACCAATATTTATATTAAATTTAAATACATTTTTCTTTCATCTCATCACAGCAGAGTAGGGACTAACACAAAACTGACCCTTCATGAAATTGCAGCGGAGGAGACTGCCCATCTTTCTCCTGTGCAGCAGATGACAGATTCAAACCACATGCCTTCGAGTTGGCAACACAACTCCCTACCAACTAGGCCACCAAAGCCCCTTATAAACTCATTATGTATTCTAAGACAAAGATTGCAACAGATTTAAATAAACAAAAGCACACACCTGTGTCCACTATGTAAAAGACACAAATTTTAAAAAATCCGAACAACAAAGGCTAAATAGATAAAGAGAAACCATGGATTTTTAGCATCAATGTATCAAATGTCTGTAGGGACATGAAAATAAACTTTGTGATAGTTTTCTACCAGAGAAAAACCCTGACAATTTGTCCTTTTAAAAGGTTAATGTATCAGAAATATGTAGCAATCATTCATGCATAAGCATATAAAACCATAGCTTCAAGTTAAAAGAAACAAAATTTCCAGAATTAAAAAGAAATACAGACAAATCTGGCAATATGTAAGATCTTCAACACTGTTCTCTCAGCAAGGAGAAAAATTAGATCAAAACAAAACATCACTTTCCAGTACTTAAATAAAACAGACACTTAGTAAAAAAATTGTACCACAAATTTATAAAATAAAAATTCATTTTCCAAATATACATTGAACATTTATCAAGACACACAATACAAATAATCTCTATTACTTTCAAGGACTAAAATCATATAAAGTAGGCCTGTGAAAACACTTATTAATACTAGAAATCAGTAACAATGTGATATCTAGGAAAATTACAAATATTTAGAAATTAAGCAAAACATCAAATAACCAATGAGAGAAAAGAGAATCCAAAGGAATTCAGAATATGATTTACTACCAGATTAAAATGTTTAAGATACAAATAGAAACACCACTTATGACTACCTAATCTTAATATATGGTACCCAAACTCATACAAAATCATTACATATTAAGTTAGAGTTTACTTTGGAAATAATAATGTTGTGTACCGTAGAGTCATAAGCAACCCATAGCTGACCTTCCGTCACATTTTCAGAGGCAGTTGATCACAAGAGAAGGAGACTGACCATCCTTCTCCCACAGAGCAGCTGGTGGCCTCATACTCTGTGCATTCAGGACTGCAGCGAAGCTTCTTGCCACTAGGCCACCAGAGCTCCATAGTAAGAGGTGCTATTTTAAATGTATTTACTGTATTAACTCACTTTAATCTTCAAAATGTTCTTAAGGAACATCTTATAGGTAAGGAAACTGAGGCAGAGAAAGATTAACTGTTCTAAACACTTAAGGAAGCTCTGGTGGCTTGGTGGTGGTAAGCAACTGCACTGTCAATCCAATGATATGAAGTTTAAAATCCACCAGCTGTTCCACTGGAGAAACACGGGGAATCTCCTCCTGTGTGGGTTACTACCTTGGAAAACCCAGTGGAGGCTCAGGTATGGGTCAGTTCCAACTTGACAGTACATAACAAAAAACACTTTTACCAAATGCAGACAAGCTATGGAATGCAGGCCAATCACTAAACTTTACTGATGTGAGTATATTTAAAATCCATTTTTAAGTGAAATTCTTAAATGAGAGAAATGTTCTTCATAACTATGAGTTAGAGATGTGGCCTAATAAGATATTCATGCCAACATGTTTCTCCAAAAACAATCAGCCTGATTTTTACTCCAATATAAAAATTTTCTATAAAAACAAGAATGCACTTACACAAAACAAAATTTAAATACTTATATGTAAGATATGTATATCTTATATATGTATATATGTATATGTATATGTATATATATGTGTGTGTATATATGTATATATTTTATATGTATATCTTATATATAAGTATTTAAATTTTGTTTTGTGTAAGTGCATTCTTATTTTTATAGAAAATATAAAAATATATAAGAAACATAATGCAGGCTATACACATGGATTTCACCTGATGGAATGCACAGGAATCAGACTGATTACACCTGTGGAAGGAACTGCTGGAGAAGGTCAATATTAGCAGTAAAAACTAGGCCAGGTGCTGATGGTGGAACAGACCATCTACTGCTCATATGTAAGTTCAAATTAAAACTAAAGAAGGTTAAATCACACACACAGGAATCAAAATTTGACCCTGAGTCTATCTCCCATGAATTTAAAAACCAACTCAAGAATAGGTTTGAACACTAAAGACCAGATGAGCTATGGGAGGATATCAAGAAAATCATCCAGGAATAATGCAAAAGGTAATTACAAAGACAGGAGGAAGACAAGACCAAAATGGATGTCAGAAGAGACTCTGAATATTGTACTACAGCACCAAGAAGCCAAAGCAAAGGGAAGAAATCAAGAAGTTATGGAGCAGAACAGAAGATTTCAAAGAGCTGCTTGGGAAGACTAGGCAAAATATTATAATGAAATTTTCAAGGAGCTGGAGTCAGAAAATCAAAAGGGCCAAACTCACACAGCATTTCTTAAGCTGAAAAAACTAAAGAATAAGTTCAA